TTCTCTTGCTCTCTTTCCAGGGTAAATATGAATGATTGGTGTGCCCCCAATACACCTCCCCTGTCTCTGCTCTGTCCAGGAGAATGGGAATTTTCTCCTTACCTCAGTCACTTAACAGGGTTTATTTTTATATTTGGAGAAGAGGGTTGGGATGGAAACATTGCCCATATTTCCCCAGACTGTGTTACCCAGCTGGGAAGTTTGTGTTCACTCCAGACTCAGGCTCCTTTTTGCCGTTTTCACCCCGTTTTTTATCTTTTCCTCAGAGCTCTGGCCCAAAGCAGTCTGTGTTCAGCAGTGATGCTTGGCACTCTGAGCACACAGGCTGGGCTGCACAGTCCAGCTCATCTCAGAGATGCTGCTGAGAGACAATCCTGATTTTCTGACAGAAATTAAGCCCTCAGCAAACGGACAACCCCCAGGGGTCCCCGTGAAGGTGGGCTGAATATTGATACCACAGGAAATTTTGGTCTTCACTTTAACTCATGACTTGTGTCTTTCGCGTACTTTGCTCATGGGCATTTAGGCAAGGACAAGAAGATTGCTCAGGAAATTCTCCCTGTTCCTAAAGCAACCAGGCAAAAAATGGTTTCTGACAGTACTGTAGCAAAGACCTTTACTAGTCTTGACAGAAATGAAAGTGGTAAAATAAACTGTTGCCTCTCCCATAAAAATTTCCGTGGTCCAGCATCACTGGGCAGTAGACAAGCCATCCCTGAGTGCCCTGTGCAGGGGCCCTGCTCTGATCAGGGGTCGGCATTGCCCACCCTGGCTGTGGCACTGCAGGCACCCTCCTGCAGCACACAGGCTCCCTGAGTGTCCCAAACACAGCAGATCCATCAGCCAGCACTGCTTTGTGGCAGAGCTGGGTGGGACTGGCATGCCAGCAGATTTACACTCATCTGCTATCTGCATTTAATTCTTCCAGCAGCTGGTGGAGAGGAAGGGAGATGAAAAGAAGTGACAGGTCTGAGTCATGCCTTGATTCGTGTCTGGGGGAGCTGGCTGGCTGAGTGGCCTGAAGAAGCAGTCCAAAAGGTCAGGGCTGAGCAAGCACGATATTCCTGAGGCAATTCCCAACAAGCTATTTACATGTGCCCACCTATGGTGGGAGTGAATTGAGTATCATGCTATCCTGCTTTTGATCCTGACTTAGAATTTTTTCTGTCTTACAGTTACAATAATTATTTCCTCATAATTGACAGTTTGATTGGATTGAGATGAAAGTTTAATTAATATTTAGTACTCTTTGTTAAGGCTAACTTTGATATGTCTAAGCTGTTATGAGGAGCTGCAGGCCCACTTAAGAAGAACTCTAAAAGCAGAACCTACTTCATTCTTTATTGCTGCAATTAAAGAAGCATTCTTGCACATCAAAGCCTTAATGGCAGCTCATGAGTCTTTCAATATTCCTGGGCACCCTGGCCTGTCATGAAAGCAGCCCCAGAGCAAAAGTGGCCACAACAAACAGAACAGTGCTGAGAAATGTCAAAGAGTTCATTACTCAAACATGCTCATTTATAACCCAGGCGTCTGATTTCCATATTCATATAAAGTTATATATTGTCATATCCCACTGTGCTATTGGAAGTGCTTAATCCACTAACTACAGATGAATTAATTTATATTACTTCCTTGTGTTTTTTAAGACAGTTTTCCCTTCTCTTATCAATGTATTTTTAGGGACAGAAGCTAGAACATTTAAATGTTTATAGTGTTCCGATTCTGCCTGGCAAAGGAGTAAACTGTGTGCATTTGGTGTCATTTATATGAAAAATAATGTTGCTTATTTGTATGTCCATGTATTTTTCCCCCATAATTAGGATTCATCCATATGTCCAGGCATTTTAAGTAGTATATTATGATTTGCAGTGGGATTTTAGTTCAGAAAGGAGTGATCAGGGAGATTTGTTTGAGCAAGCTCTGTACCTGGAGCTTCACGTTTCTGTATCTTTGCAGAAACTGGACCCTGTGCAAAATGCACGTGGGGAAACAGACTTTACCAGAGCAGAGTAGAAGAGGCTGCTTAGGTGCAGGGATGGCTTTTTGATGGGGCCATGCAGAAAATGGGTGCACATGGTGTCCCTGGGGGTGTATTCCAAGCCAGGGCACCAAAAGCCCCTGGGATGTGCCCATGATCCCATCAGGGTAGTGCTGCTGAAGGTGAGGACAAGCTTTGCTTGCCACAGGGAGGCAGGATGGTCAGGTTGGCTCTGGGAGCTGAATGTAACAGGGACACTGCATTTGGTCTACATCGAGAGAGAAGTTATAGAGCACAGCAAATTTATACATACAGCCAGCAGGTTTTAAACCTTTCAGTAGCAAACCTCAATTTGAGCAGAAATCTCTCCCCCAGGAGCAGAGCAGAAGACAAAGCAACCAAACTAAAAATCAAGAGATCAATACTGAAAGCAAAACGTAGTGGCAAAGATGTCTCTCCAGAGCAAAGGCAGGTAATTGCATAACTGTTCCAAGGGGAAGAGAAAAGGTCAGCAGGCAGAAGATAGGCTGCTGCATGGAAAGCTTCTGCCTGGCTGGGGACAGCTTTTCACAGTGCATTGAAGGAAAAGTGAGGAAAATGAGGATGCAGAAGTAACTAAGAAAATGCCAAACTGCCTGAGAAGGCTGGGTAAGACTGCCCCAAAATGGCACAAAGTGTCATGGGGAGAGACATCCTCCAAACTGAGGGACTTTTGAGGCAGCACCAAACCCAGCAGAGTGTGGCTCTGAACAATGTGAAATTTCACAATGAAGTTGTAGCAGATGGCAGAAGAGGGAGTCAAGGCCAGGACTTGGCAGAAAGAGGGAAAATGCTAGCCATCAGCCTGTCTGGAGAGCAGCAGGAGGGAGGAGATAGATGAGCAACCTGGAGGACGAGCAGGACACTGAGCAGAGTGAAAGCAGAAAGCAGGGAGGGCTGGTGCAGTGGAAGGCTGCTTTGCAGACCACAATAAGATAAAAGTACAGAGCTGCAGCTGGCTGGTATCAAAGACCACTCTCACAGGTCTACATGAACTCTCTGACCTCAGCAAAGGGACAAAATGAGAGAGCAATTCTTCAAAGGGAAAATGTTATGAATCTTCTGGGAGCTTAAATGGGAATGAAGCTACAGGAGGGAGTTCAGCAGCATCATACAGACTGCTCAGCTTGGGAGCTGTATTTCCAGCTTCACAGCTGGTCATGAATATTTCCTCTTTCCAACCCCTTCCTTGACTGGGTTTTGGATGGGGAAAAGTCCTTTCTTTTCTCAGTATCCTGCAAGATCTCAGGTAGGGAACACTCTACCTCTCCACTTGACCTCTGAGATTGTGTGCATCTTTCCTTTCCTCCATCATAGGCTCTACTGATGGTGCCCAAATCATCCAGGTTTCACAGATCCCTGGAATTTGTATGTGTTAATCCAACTTAACAGAGACTGCAGGATTGGATACTGATAGAGACACTCAGTTGAAATAGCTCTGCCAAATGGGAATTGTTGGACTTAATGTAGAATAGTATTGACTTAAACCTGTGCTCAGTCTTTAAATAGGCCTCATACTCTTGATTCAGATGTCTGATCAAAGAAAAAATTATAAAAAAGATTTTTAAAAAGCAGATATTGCTTGAGACCCTCCTGAAGTCACCCTTAACAACATTAAATGCAGCCACACCCGCAGAGCTCAGGCTGGCAGTGTCCCCATGTCTCTGCTGGACTCCAGCACTGAGGATGTGTGAATCCAGTGGAAGCTGCTGCCAGCCTGTTGCTTTAGGACACAAAATGAACCGATGTGGACACTGGAGTCTCTAAGGTAAAAAGAAGGGAAGTCTAATTCCTGACTCCAACATTTATAGATTTTCAAAAGTGACAGTGGATGGAAGGCTGACAGTGCCACCTCTCCAATGACACTGGACAAACCAACAGTCCATCAAATTTCTCTTCCTCCAGAAAAGAATGCAAAACAATTAATTATTTATATAAAGTACACGAGAAAGTTTGTTACAAGAATATAAACATCAGAAGGCTTAGAAAAACTCAAAAAAGCAAAACAACAGCCCTGCCTGGGGGCTGTGGGTGGGCAGGGTGTGTGTGGTAGGACCACTGCCTGCACGGGGACAGCATGTCCTTGGCTCTTATCGAAGGTCTGAGCTGATCCCAAGCAAATCATGGACATTAAAATCCTCAGATGGGGCCATTTCTGTAGTAACAGCTAAATTATAGCCCATGCACGGCAGGAAACCAAATTAGGGCTCCGTGTGCAGTATTTACTTGGACAATTTCATTTAACCTTGCCGTCTTTTAATTGCTTTTATGTCTTGATTTAGTAATTTCTGATTTTTTTTAATAGTTCCATTTATTGAGAAACACCACAAGAGACGTGGACTGAGTAATTTTCTGTTTCTGCTGTTTCACACTGTAATAGCAACAGAATCATCTGTAGGCAAATTCTTTAAGCAATAAATATCTGTCCCTGGTTTGGATGTTTATTATTTTTGTAGCAGTTTATTTGCAGGATGGAGTACCACCTTCACAAGAAATAGAACTGATTTGCAGTCAAAGTAGTGCTTTTGGTTACCTCTGGATTTTGTAAGAGAAGAGACAAAACATAAAGTAATAATGCAGGAAACACGTAAAATGGTAATTTATCAAGTTAAAGATCTCAGTTTGATTGGAGAGAGAAATGAATAAAAATTGCAAAAAGCAATATACTTCTAATGAAATATAGTTCAGAGGAAAAATTACCCTATATTCCAGGCTGTTAGTGTCATGGAACAGATAATTGAATTCCTTGCTTTCTTGTCAGTGCAGCAATATGTAACTCTGCTCAAATTCTCAGGTAATCCACAGTTTTTATGCTGATCTTCATAATTTTTTCTTTGAAAACTGTTCTAATTACCACTTCTTCTGTTCTTACAAAGTCTTCATAAAAAGGTTGGGTTTTTGGGCTCACATCCCACAGGTAACAGAGCACAAAACCAAAACTCAGAAGATGATGCAGGTTTGTGCTTTATTTCCATGCAACACTTTTTGAGAAAAGTAGAAAAGTTTATTTTGAAAGAAATGGAGCCACTTGGTACCTCATGAAGGGGAAGGCACAGAGCAAAGCTCACACGTACACATCCTTCACTGGGGTGAATGGTCTGAGCCGTTTTGCAAGGTGGTATCGTTGTGGTGGGAGCGAAATCAGTTATCAAAGGCAGTGTTTGCCGTGCCAAAATTAACTTTTGGATAGCAGGAAAATGAATTAAGGAGTCAGGGATAGCAGCTGCCTGTGCCAATGCCACCCTACATGGCAGGCAGGGGAATTGCTCTTGTTCTCTACCATGATTTTCAGGCTTAACAAAATGCATCACATTCTTCCAAAGGAAGAGGTTGAAAAGGGTTTTCAATCACCATCTCAAATTTGGCTTCAAGCTGCCATAAACTGGAATATCCTAATGTAAATTGAGAATAGTCTGCTAAGGAGGCAGTGGCACTTACACAGTTCTCTCCCATGTCCCCATTTTAAGAATTTTTTCTCGGGTGTTTCTTTTGTTTAATGTTGTCTGTGCAGTTTTCTACAACAGTTTAACTGCTTTATTGGCAATGAGGAAGGACATAAAATCTGTTATTGCAAGTGAGGAAGAAACATATGCTCTATGCTTAATGTGCAGCTGGAAAATACACATGAAAATAATTTTTTAAAAGCCTTTCACATTCAATGGCCTTTCATTTCCCTTCTTTTCTAGATACCCCTGAACAGTTGCTGGTGCTGCCATAGCTGGTTAGAGGATGGTGCTGATCATGCCAAGATTGTGGGTGTGATCCCCATATGGGCCATTCACTTAAGAGCTGGACTTGTGGGTCCTTGTGGGTCCCTTCCAGCTCAGAAGATTCTGATCCCGTGATTCTGAAAATGCAGCAGTGTGGGGGGAATAGATAGGAGGAGCTGCTGAGGCTTCTTGGACCTATGGCGTGGACAAGCCAGAGGATCATTTCCTGCATGGGGACACCCCTGTGGGGTGTGTAGAAGTCAAGGCACTGAACTCATCTGAATCAGTGGGGTATAAAATAAGGATAAAGCTGAGGCAGGGGAGCTCCCTAAACCAGCCCCACTACCAAGGCCTCTGTCATGTGGAGCTGCCCTTCAAAATTCAAACACTGGGCAAAGCTGTGTTTGCCCAAGAGCCCTTGACCCTGCAAGGAGCTGAAGTTCTGTGCTGTCTGTGCTTCCCAAACACACTGCAGCTCACTGCCAGCATCACTCCCTGCTTGGCTGCCATTGCTGCCCAGCTTGATTTAGGGAGGGTGAGACCTGCTGGGCACTTGTCATTTCTGCCCATGAAAATGCCCTTTTCCTCTCTGCTTCCAAATCATCTCTGGGCCCAGCATCTCATGGGTGCTTGTGGCCAGGCATTTCCCAGCTAATTATCAACAAACTAATAAAGAACACTGAGTCTTCAATGCCCAGACCTACATGGATTTTCTCACCCTATAATTTGCTCAATATTCAGCAATATCTATCTTACAATTCAACACCAAAGGACTGCACTCCAATATTGTCCAGAAAGAAGCTAATGAGACAGGAATACACCAAACAAGTGGGCTGCAACAGGAAAATGAGGGGCTGGCCAGGAGCCAGGGATCCCATTGCCCAGGCAGAGCACAGGTACAGACTCCTGAGCCAATTCTGCCTTTCCATGGTGCTTTGTTGCCACCCGATGGCCTCACACAAGGTTGCAAGAATGGAACTGGAAAAGGTGCATTCTTTGAGATGTCTTGCATTTCATTAAAACCACGAAGAGCTTTTGAAAAGAGCTTCTCAGATCAATGTCTTTTCATGCCCTGCTGACACAAGTCTCTGCTTTACAGGTGAAAAAATGGCTTTTTTCCAATATGACAGCCATAATTGCCATATAGACAACACCTGTATTTTAGCTGTATTTAGAAGGAATTTCTCTTGTCTTTTGCAATTTCCTTCCTCAAGAGGACAAGGTGCCTGGAGGATAATGGTGTTGTCAGGCCTGGGATGGTCACTAAATGGCAATGCTTGGTCCATCCAGCCTGATATTCCTGTGTTTGCCAAGATAAGAACTGCATCTACCCCTCACTCTGTCCCTCTTGACCAGAGCAACGCATCTGCCTTGTGTGAAATAATCACTGTTCTGTTTTGGGTGTGGTGTTGAACCACAGGGATACCCAGCAAGCACCCAGGAAAATCCTGACCACTATTCACGTATCTTTTTTTTCTCTTTTCCCATTTCTTTTACTATTTCTGGAGCCTACCTTTCTCTGTCTTTTCCCAATCTTTCTCTACTCAAATCCTTTCTCATTTAAATAGTTCACCCCTAATTTTCTTTTCCCTAAAGGTCCTGGTTTTTCCTTCATGTGTACACAGTGTTTGCATTTTTGACACTCTGACTGGGTGATACTGGAGCTGCACACTGTCAGTGATGCTTTGCTGGTCTTGCAGAGCTCCCTCTAAACACTTCTGAAATCTGGCTGTTTCCCACATCACTCCTTCCAAAGCACTGGTGAAAGCCAGGCATCCCTCACGGTGCTGTCTGTCAGTTTTGGTGGCACCAGCACTGTGACAGTCACGTGCATAGATTAGGATGCCACATCTCCTCGTGCCCTTTTCAAAGAACATGACCTCACTTCAGCATCTGCATTTTTTCCCCTGGTCATTCCAGCTGGCTTAGCTACATAAGAAGCTCTTACTGAGGTAAAAACACCGAGGCTGAAATGATTTGGAGCTGAGGGATTGGGCTCTCCAGGTGCTGCTCTGGTCAGCTCTGCCTTGGGAACAGCAGTGTGGCTGAAAAAGGGAGCGTGGCTCACCCCATGTCTGCTCCTGGGTCAGGGTGTGAAGGACAGGGACAGGAACTGGCAGCTGCCACCTTTACTTGCTTTTGATGAAGATGGATGGAGATGCTACAAAGGGGCTGTCTGTTTTCTGGGCTGCTCTAAAGTGTTTTTTGAATCCACAGCTGGAGAACTTCTTCTGAGGGCATCACAACCACCATCAGGTCACATTGTTCAGCTTCTTCACTGCCCCGCAGGATCAGCTGGGTGGGTGGCTCTGATTCCTTCTGGAAAACAAATGCACTCCCTCAAACACCCTCGGGCTGCTGAGTTAGGCTGCTTGTCCTTTTCCCCACAAAGTGTTCCTCTCATCCTTCCTGCCACAGCTGCCTAGAGAACCCACAGCCACAGAAGCTGCTGACCTGCATTCTCACTTGAACTGGACATTTTCACATATTCCCGAGGAGCTGTTGATTGATTTCTCCTTAGCAAGCTGCTGAGAAGCTCAGAGGGGTAGCAGGGGACGTGGAGCAGAGTTGACAGTGGCACAGCTGGTTGGTTCAGGGAGCAGCTGCTCAGGCAGGGTCAGTCCCTGCCTCACAAGCCATTTTCCCTGAAGCACCAGGAGCATCTTCACTGCCAGGGAATTTTTTAAAAGCCTTTCACATTCAATGGCCTTTCATTTCCCTTCTTTTCTAGATACCCCTGAACAGTTGCTGGTGCTGCCATAGCTGGTTAGAGGATGGTGCTGATCATGCCAAGATTGTGGGTGTGATCCCCATATGGGCCATTCACTTAAGAGCTGGACTTGTGGGTCCTTGTGGGTCCCTTCCAGCTCAGAAGATTCTGATCCTGTGATTCTGAAAATGCAGCAGTGTGGGGGGAAGAGAGTTGCTGAGGCTTCTTGGACCTATGGCGTGGACAAGCCAGAGGATCATTTCCTGCATGGGGACACCCCTGTGGGGTGTGTAGAAGTCAAGGCACTGAACTCATCTGAATCAATGGGGTATTAAAAGGGCAAGGCTTCCTGGCAATCTGCTTTTTCTGCCTGCCCCATGCTCCTGTGAATACCCAGCATGCTAAAAACCAATAAAGCACAGTAAAAAAAAAGTTACCAGTGTGTCTGGCAGGACACCAGCGGGGCAGCAGGAGTATTGGAAGATTTTCCTTATTTTCCAGGTAAGGAAAGGCAGGGTAAAAGCTGCTGCAGCAAAGCCAGCAGAGGAGATGAGGGCAGTAACCAGCCACATGGATTTGTCACCTGGAAATGAAATGACAGAGCAGCAAAACTTCTCAGAGACACTGCAGGCACTCACTGCAGCCAGCCTGAGCCCTGTGTGGCTGCTCCTCCACCCACCCTGGGGACATCCCCAGCAAATCCAATGCCAGGCTGGGGGGCTGCACTCCTGACCCTTCCTCTTCCTCTCCCAAGGAACAAACACAGCACGTTTGCAAACCAGGCAGGAGGTTTTGGGTGGAAACAAAAGGAAGAGCATTTTTTGGCTTAAGCTTTTTTTTGACTTAAGAGATGGGGTAACTGAGAGATGTTTTAAAAATTTTCATTCTATTTTTATGATTATTATTTATTTTTAAATTAAATTATAATATAATATTTTTATTTTTATTTATTCTTTATTAGTTTGAATTTTTCTTATTATAATAATAGAATAATATTTTTTAAATTGTAATTTAAATGTTATTTAATATTAATATTTTAATTATTTTAGATTTTATTCTATTTTTTCTATTTTTTAATTTTATGTGAAGGGTGAGACAATACAGATGTTATGTTCACGCCATCACAATCAGAAGCCAACTATATCAGAAGATAAGTTTAAAAATTCTCTGCAAATTAATATCCCACAAGCTTTGGGCATGGCAGGGGGCAGGAGGGAGGGCTGGTTCTTACCCTGAGCCCTCACACACTGTGTGGGGCTGAAGCTGCTGCTCCTGTTGATGGCCTCCACGTGTGTCTGAGCCTTCACACAGTACTCAGCTCCTGCCTCCATGGTGTCCAGGTGAACCACGGAGCTCACCTCCTTCAGCACCTTCTGCTGCACCTGCCACAGCCCCACAACACAAAGCATCAGGGCACAGGGCAGGGGTCTCCCATCAGAGAGCAGCCCTACCATTGGTGCCTTAAAGAACCTGGAAATGGAGCAACACACACTTTGAGATAATATTAGTACAGGAGGGAACACAAAAGTTGGTCTTTATTGGAGGCCTCCAGGGGCAGGTATGGAAAATGCCCACAAAAAACCCACTCCCCACAGGCTGAATACAGATTTATACATTCAGTAAATTAGCATCATTGAAAAAAGCATCAATTAAGATGCTGATGCAACTCACTCTCCCTCCCCAAAGTTCAGGCCCCTTCTAAATCCCCCTCCCACAGGTGGAACTGAAGTTTCTTGGTGAAAATGTGTCTCCAAGAGCTGTTTTTGGCCTTGGTTCCCAGGGAGAACCAAGGTAGGATGGAGGCTCTGGAATATATTTTGTCTTATGTATCCGGGCAGGGAAAAGCACTGGGAAAACCAGCTAGCAATGTAATAGTAAGCTACAGAGCTCCAAAAATCTGTGTAAAGGATACAGAGATATAGAAAAGGGAAAATGAAAAGATCTGGCATCACCATGCTGCTCATCTAGCGAGGAGAGGAGGGAGCAGCAGGGCACATCTGAGGCCTGTGTGAGCAGGACAAAAGGGGGATGAAAGCAGCCAACACAAAGCACAGTGGAGAGCAGAATGAGCCCACACACCTCGGGAAGGGCAGGAGGGGTGGAAGGAAGGAGCTGGAAGCCAAAAAATCATAATGATGATGGTGGGCCACTACCCTAGACCAGAGCCTGGTACCCTGTTAGGAGGGGATGGCTGAGGCCTCCACTGATCTGAGCTTTTTCTGGGTGTGATGGATGCCAAAACCATCACCATGCTGTGACAGGAGTGTGAGAGCTGTGCCAGAGAGCTCAGAGAGGGGATGGACCAGCTAGTGAGGGGTCAGTGAGTTTGGTGTGTGGAAGTGTGACACACTCCAGCACATTGAAAGAGCGTGACCAGCAGTGTAGCAGGCACAGGGCCTGCACGGCCTCCATGGCAGTCAGCAGCCTCGGACAGGAAATGCAGAGTCATGATGGCTGGGCCTTGGAAGCCCCTCTCCCCTCCTTTGGACCCTTGCTTGTTTCTCTGTAAGACTATAGCTCACTTTCCTTCAACCCTTGCCATTGGACAATTCCTAAAACTCCTGTACCCTGTATAAAGAGCTACTTTTGCCCCGTTTGTCAGAAGAGCTGTCCCTGAGACCTTTGCAGAAGATCAATAAAGGACACCTCTGTGGAACCTCACACAGCCTTCTCCTCTCTCTCCCTGCATCTGCCAAAGGCACTTAGCAAGCCAAAAGCTGAATTCAAAAAGAGCTGATAATCACTAAAGAGCTGATCTCACTTAAGAGCTGAGCTTGCTGAGGTTGCCTCTGGCTGGGAGCTGCCTGGGAGCCCGGACAGGCTGTGCTGAACAGGACTGAGCTATCCAGACCTGTTCAGACCTGTGGACACCCCAAAACCAGGCTGAGGTGAGCAGCAGTACATTCTTTTATTGCCACTTCCTAAAACTCCTGTACCCTGTATAAAGAGCTACTTTTGCCCCGTTTGTCAGAAGAGCTGTCCCTGAGACCTTTGCAGAAGATCAATAAAGGACACCTCTGTGGAACCTCACACAGCCTTCTCCTCTCTCTCCCTGCATCTGCCAAAGGCACTTAGCAAGCCAAAAGCTGAATTCAGAAAGAGCTGATAATCACTAAAGAGCTGATCTCACGTAAGAGCTGAGCTTGCTGAGGTTGCCTGTGGCTGGGAGCTGCCTGGGAGCCCGGACAGGCTGTGCTGAACAGGACTGAGCTATCCGGACCCATGGACACCCCAAAACCAGGCCGAGGCGAGCCCTGTGCAGCAGTACATTATTTTATTGCCATAAATAGGTCTGCATTCATTGCTAGCAAAATGGATTTGCTGTTTCCAGTGTCCCCAGCCATGAGAGGATGGCTAACAGCTCCCCAACTGCTCCTCTTGCTGTGCTGCAGATGCAAACCTGTTCTCACAGAAGGCCTGATCAGCCTCCAGCTCCACACATATGGAAAAGTCCTACAAGCCAGGAGGGCTCCCCTGGCAGGGCAAGTCCTTCCCACCATCCAAACATGATATGGAGGGCCATTAGTTTGAAAAGATTTCAAGGACAAAATCAGGTCTATGACTATCTGGGGTGATGTCTTGCAAAAACATCAAATGAGACATGTCAAATGTAAAAATAATTTAAAAAAATAATAAGATAAGAGTCCCAGCACAGGACTTGTATTGACCAGCAAAACTAATGTTTGGAACAGTCCAGTTGGTAGAAAGTATTCCGAAATTTAGAATTCATGTTGAGGTCATTAAGATCACATGCTGAAGAAGATTTAATATTTTATTAATAAAACACAACCAGATACAAACCTATTGCTTGTATGTAAGGTGTCAGAAAGCCCATGGACAAGGTTGATCTCATTTAGCTGGATCTCACAGTGGGCAGTCCTGCTCCTGATGCCTCTTTTTAGGCTAAAGACTTTTGTATGAGTAAATTGCTAATTGAGAGTGGCAGGAAGTCATGGTGGGGACTCAGTATTAGCCGAGATGATCAGGAAGAATAATGAAAACTGATACCTGCTAGTGGTACTAAAAAACCATTTCACAATAGCAAAGGTGACAGACAACTGTGAAGATCAGCAAGAGGATCTGGTAATAAAGCAACAAATGCAATTCAACCCCGAAAAATGCAGAATTATGCTCATGAGAATTTTTCTCCTACATTTTCACAGCATCCTCCCTCAGAAACAAGAACTTAGGGCTTAGGTTCCATGGGATTGTCAGCTCTGTGGTAGTCACATTAACAATTGCTGGAGAAACAAGGGAGTGGGAAGACTTGTTTTGTTTCATGGTGCTATCACAGAGTGTTCCTGCACCTTGGACTCTGCAGGTTTCTCCCTGCCCACCCTGGTAAAGACAAAAATAGCTGTGAGGGCTTCCACAGGGAACAGCTCAGTAATCTGGGAGTCCTTGAATGGAAGAAAGATACAGAATATGAAACTAATAGAGTAGCAGGGAAAGTGAATGGGGAATAATTGTTCTCTCTCTCATCCCCAAATCAAGGTTGAGACTGCACAGCAGTTAAGGTGCAGAATTGCTCATTGCAGGAAGCTGTACAAGCTACAAGCTTACACAGATTGAAAGCCAGAACAGATAAATTAATGGAACAAAAATCCATCAAGGACTACTATGCTGCAATTTCTGGCTCAGAAAACAGAAAAGTTTGTCAGCTCCTCAGTGTGACACCTTAATCCCAGTCTGAGTAAAGCAGATGAAGTTCAGAGGGAGAAGTCAGCACAAACACCTTTGGTTCCTGACTTCTGGCTCCTAGCTATAGTTGAGGTATGTGAGGGGATTCCTTTTCCCAGAGAAGGAGATGTGGAAAGAACAGACAAGCTTCTCCATGAGGAGCCCACAGCAACCCCCCGGTGTGTGCAGGGTGAGGTGGCACCAACCCACTCCAGGCAGGTCCTTCAGCCCCACAGCAGGAGCTGGGACTGGCAAACAGGCTCTGTGTGCATCCCTCAGGGCACTCTTAGTTATTTCCTACAACCTGAGGGTAAAACTCACCCTGCTCTCCTGGCCCTTCCTCCAGTAGAGCACCCGGAACTGGAAGGAGGGTCCCATGTCTGCCAGCTCCACCAGCAAATGGTGCCCGTCTGCCACGGCCCTCAGCAGGGGTGGGGTGAGGGAAGCTGTCAACACAGAGACCACCATTACCACCCAGACACAGCCCTGAAATCCCCCCTTCTGCCCAGACAGGAGGGGAAGAGAGGCTGCCATCACCACTGGAATAACACCAGTCTGCAATAACAGCTTCAGCGGGGCAGGAACCTCTCTGCTCTTCCTCCCTGTCCAAATACAGGAGCAGACTTTCAGCAGGAGAAGGACCATGGCTGGCATTGCAAATGGGAATTTGGCAACAGCTGAGCTGCACAGAACTTGAAAGGCTTTGAATTTTCTCCTCCAGCAGTGGAGGAGCTGCCTGGCCTGAGGGTGCCACGAGAACAACTGCAGCAGAACCAGCTGGGCCACAGAAGTTGGGACAGCAGATCAGGTCAGCCCTTGTGCTCCTGGGCAAGATCAGCTCTGCCACACAGAACAGGAGCTGGAAAACCACTGCTTTTCATGGGAATTTTGGCAGTTTTTCAAAGATGAAGGAAAAAACATTATCAGCCTCAGGGTAATTCACATGAATCCTGATTTTCTTTTAGTATCTGCATGGTTTTAGACAGACTTGGGCTGAGGATCTGCTGTGACTTCAGGTTTTGCAAATGTATGCAAGTAAATCTTTAGGCGATTTGCTTCCTGCTTACTTTGATATTCAAAGCTTGGTTTTGTCTGGGGTTCTGCTGTGAGGAATATGAGTGAAATAATGAGAACCAATGGAGCATAGATGAAACTGTGCACTGTACATTTATGAACATTTATGAACTGGGAAGTTCAAGGCAGTACAGAAATCATGTTTGCACTATTTATCTGTGCCATTATTCACACTTATCTATGCCAATTTTTACCACTCTGCTGTAGCTGAAACACGTTTCAACTTCTTTGCTTTCAAGAAAGCAAAGAGAGTGATACATAGTGCCATATAGAAGAGATGTTCTTAATAGAATTTGATCTTACATCCAGTGAATTGCCACTAATACTGAGCAATATGAAAACATAAAATCTGAGCATGTACATGATGTGTGATGTGCCAAAAATGGGAGGCCTGGAAATCTACTTTGTACTTCTAAATGAATAGCTGAAAAAAATAAAAAAAGGTAAAAATCTCCTTAGCACCACATCTCAAAATTTAAAAAAAACCCCCAAACCTGTTATCATTTGGTGGTTAAAAGCAAATATGGTGCTAATGTATTAACAAAAGGACATTGCAAGATGCAGCTGCCAAACAAACAGGAGCATTTCTATCTAGCTCTTTGCTGGCACACTGGATACCAACTAACTCTTTGAAGGCTGAGAAATGAAGGAAGGCTGACTAAATTGTTTGCTTTAGGAAGATCTTTCCTAAAGTGTTTTCCATGAGTTATCCTGCTCGGTGTGCTTCTGCCCCTGTGCCTTTGGCCCTGGGGCTGTGCAGTCTGGAGGAGCTCTGGGCTGTGCTGCTGCCCTGGCTGCCTGTGACACAACCTGTGGGCTGGGTTTGAATCCCCTAGCTCCTCTCAGACTCAGTGCCAGGCTTCCTCAGACAGCAGAGCAGGAAAATGCATAAGGACAAGAACTTGCAGTGACTTTTCTTTCTCTTTTAAACATCTGTCGCATTCACACTGAATCCCAATGCAAGCTGAACTGTCACAGCTTAGTCAGAAAGCTGTTTTGGGGTCCCTGGGACACAGGACCAAGCTGCCAAATACTTCACTGAACCATGAGAAGCTGCTGCTTTTGTTCCTGGCAGTCTTGGGATGTCCTTCCCCTGTGTCTGCGTGACAGTGTGGTCTGTGCCTCTGTCTGTGCCTCCACAGCTGCTGGAGAAGGGAAGGATTTTTTATCTAAAGCACTCTCTAGACTATTCTTCCACACAAAGAGACACAGTCACCAGCTTAGGTGGCACTTCTGATGGTGCTGCTTTGACCAAGACCTCTGTGTGAGTAAGGACTGCTTCCTGATGAAGTAGTGAATAGCTTCCAAAGTTGGATTAATTTTTAATATTGGGTCAGTTCTGGTTTAGGACAGAGAATTTCTTGCCTGGCTGGAGCTGATGAATGCTGCCCATCCCAGGCTGAGAGCTGCAGTCTAACAGTGACCTCAGCAGAGCTTTCCCACCACAGTTTTTTGTTGACTACATGGTGGAGAACAGAGGCAATTATTCCAGAGAAACATTATGCTCATTTAATCCTAGGGTTGAGCTGGGCCTCAGACTTTGCAGGACTTGGAAGGACGTGGAGAAAAAAATTGAATAGTTACCCTTGAAACTCAACTGAATATCTCACAGTTGCTCCCTGAACGATCACAGGACTCCAAGTTAAGAAGTGTTTCATGTTGGTTGAAAGAATGGAGATACTCTGAGGTGCTGGCAACAAAGCATCTCCTCCTAAAATTCCCAGCAAAATAAAGGAAAAAAAAAATTTACTGGTGGGGGAAAAAAAAAGCTTAGAAGAGTAGTGCAAAAAAGTGTTTTGTATTAGAGATGCACATGCTACATTTCACTACAGTCACCTCAGTGTTTGAAGCATATTACAGACAAGAAGAAAGGATGTAGCAGCTCAGCTAAAAGTGCTCCTTTGCCTTATTTCAGTTTTTCATTGTATCACTAAAACAGTTTGACCAAGACCTCTGCGTGAGTGAGGATTTCTTCCTGATGAAGTAGTGAATAGCTTCTAGAGTTGGATTAATTTTTAATATTGGGTCAGTTCTGGTTTAGGACAGAGAATTTCTTGCCTGGCTGGAGCTGATGAATGCTGCCCATCCCAGGCTGAGAGCTGCAGTCTAACAGTGACCTCAGCAGAGCTTTCTCACTACAGTTTTTGTGATGGGAGGAAAAGGCCAAGCCCTCCATTTGGGTTTAATGGAGCCAAAAACCAGAGTTGGCTCTGTTGCACTCCATAAACTGTTCCAAGGAGGCCACGATTCCAAATGTGCTGTTCCTTTCCAGGCTGGATTTGCTGCTGAGGGAGATCCCAGCTCTGGGACAGCTCCTTCAACAGGATTCTGACAATAGAGGGGCCTGTATGGTGTGATCAAAGTTTATTAACAGAATAAGCTAATTCCATGCTCTATTACTGGAATTATTACTTTCCTCTGAGGTTTCCACAGCATGACTAAGGGATGGTGGTTGATTTTACCCTGGAATATCTTCATATAAGATCCTTGGCAATGTTTGGAGCACAGGAGGCAGGATGCCCTGTGGACTACACTGTGGGAGCTTTTCAGACTTATCTTCTGCTACTTTCCAATACCAGGAAAATCCCATTCTCTGTGTGCATCAGGGAATGGTTCCCAAAGAACCACTGGGAGGGAGGAATGGATGGACTGGTTTCTATCAACCCACTGGTGAACACTCTCCCCAAAACAAGGTAACTGTGCTATCACAGTGTGTTACTTAAAGATTATTTTTTGGTTAAATTTATGTCACTTAATCAGGTTTGTCATCCAATAGTCTTTGCCTGCCACTAAAAAGAGTGTTTTCTTCTCAGCCATGTTTACAAAATTATCCAGTAAATTTTCAGTTGTCCTACCCACTATCAAAACCAGGCTGACAAGTCCATGAGCAATGTTTTTAAAGCATTGGAACAATAGCTGTCTAATTTCCTGTATCATATCTTTATAAAATTACTAATGATGTGAGCAATCATTATGCCAACTCTCTTATGATTCTTTGGCACAAGTCATACATTATTGATACAATGCTCAGCTGCTCTTTGAAATAAATTTCACGTTTCTCTGGGATGAGAAATTTTCTTCCTTGTCCTTCCATAAAATTACTAATGATGTGAGCAATCATTATGCCAACTCTCTTATGATTCTTTGGCACAAGTCATACATTATTGATACAATGCTCAGCTGCTCTTTGAAATAAATTTCACGTTTCTCTGGGATGAGAAATTTTCTTCCTTGTCCTTTAGCCAATGGAATGGTCACTCTCTGCCAGATCCACAGTTCTGGTAGGCTGAGACTCCATAAACTCAGAGCACTGTAGTCAAAGCACTTCTAGTCTTTAAAAAATGAAAAAAGCAAAAGTTTTTAGTGATCTTCACACTGCAGCAGAATCACAGTGTGAATCACATGTGTGAACAATATGAACTAGGTTGGAAAGCACAGCATAACCACCCATTTGGTCTCTTGTGCCCTCCATGCTTCTCCATGGTTCTTGGTTAATCAGCAGATGAGGGAGGGATGGCCCCAGATGTCTTGCTACTTTTCCTTGCGCTTGGTTCCCATGTTAATTTTGGGATCTGGCATACCTGAGGGTGTGAATTCCATACCAGATTTCCTTTCCATGAACAAACATTGGCTCTCCCCAGGACTCAGAGACACAATGAAGCTCCAGGTCTGAGCAGGGATGAACTGCATTGAAGGTTTTCCTATTTTTTCAAGTCTTGACTTTAGGACATTTTTGATATAAATTTTTTTTGCATTCAATAGTACTAAACCCTATATTATTAAACTGTCTAGAAACCTATTTTAAAAGCAGAGAGTTCTGAATTGGACTATCAGTCTTGTAATGGCCCAAGGGTTATTTCCTGTCTGCTGAGACCAATCTTCATTTCCTGGCTATGCTTGGCTTAGTGCACTTTTTTCTTGTCAAAACCAGTGAGTCTTCTACTGGCACAGTGGCTGCCACGTCATTTCAGCTGAACCACAAAAGCTCATATAGAAATTAGGAAAATTCAGAATTAATAAAAACCCTGAAATTATGAAAAGTTCATACAGAAATTCTTTCCTGATTTCATTAGGAGAAGTTCTGTATCCAATGGCAGTGTCCATGCCTCTATAAAAGCAGTTCACTGGTTCAAGTTTCTGTTTGGCCTTATATGCTGAAAGTTACAGTTTGGAGGAGAGTTCATGCTTTTCCAGAGTACTTTTGATCTAGACATAATCCTCTGTCATAGCCAAGCAAATTATATTCGTGATTTCTCCCACCCATCTGTTGCAACAGCCCACAAAGCAATTGTAACAAACACAAATTTAACAGTGGGAGGAAAGACAATCCTAGGTTATATAAACAGCACTGTACAAAGAGTAAAGTGTTTTGTTTGAATGCTGAAATAATTCAGCAGCTCTGGTTTGTTCATTTTGAAGGAAAAGGAAACAATAATCATCCAA